GCGTGAAGGCAGTTTCCAGACCCTGTCTTCACTGCTTGCCAGTTTCAAAACACCTGTGAGTAGACTTGCCAGTCTTGCTATTTTGCTTTAAGGTTCATTTTATGAGCTCTGCACAGTATAGGCCTAAGGATTTCCTTATGTAGAATTCTTAAATACAAAACAAAGTTAGAACCATTGTTGAATGACTTTTTTTTTTTTTTCTAAAGAGAAACATCATTTTCACACAAATCTGATATTCTACAGACATCCACAACCCAAATTGTTAGATACCCTCCCAGTCATGGTGAATTAATGTTTTAAACTACACACCCACATTCAGTTTGAACAGTCTGTGCTGGTCTCAATGCCACTGCTGACTTCTCTGACCATCAGACTGGTAGTGACCTGCGTGAATTACCTGAATTCTAACAGCAGCACAATCCTAAATGCATTGGTACCAGCTTAAAATGCTTCTACATTCAAGGGGAAGAATCTGTTTTGGGAAAGGTGCTATCAGCTGTGATATTGTAACCGATACAACATCCCAATTTCCTTTGAAAAGGTGTAAACTGCACAGGTTGTCTTGTCTGGGATGGCTCTCCACTCTGATAACAGCTATGAAATCCAAGGTTACAGATCTCTCTTCTAGCAGACAATACTGTCTTCAGAAGCAGCTTAACATGAATTGGAAAAAATACTAGCTACTTCACCAAAAACAACTGCCCTTACCCTACCAAAAATTAGTTACTAGTGTTAACATTATGCTACATAACATAATGATAACATTGTGAACCAGTTCCAGATCAAGGGGAAATCTCTTCCCTGATCATCCCAGTCTAGAGAAGTGAGACCAAAGAAAAAGTGGGGAACATAATAACCTTTAATACACAAGTAGTAGCATCATAATTTTTCCACTTTTGTCAGCAGAACTGGGGGAGTGGAGGGAAAGAAAACAAGAAACCAGCTTAGCTTGCAACAAGGGAAGAGATGGGAGCATGTGTCACACTATCAGGAGTGAAACACTGAAACAATTTATATAGGACAAACACAGAGCAATCTGTCCAACCCACTTCTTAGAAACCACCTAGAAAACTGTCTTTTGAGAATGATCTAGGCTTATTGTATCTTGCCAGAGTGGCAAAGCTCAGACTAGATGGTTACGCTGTCTCTTCTACCCTACATTTACAGGCCTCCAGATAGTGTTACCTCCACACCTAGTGAGAGTTTTTCCTGTGCCTGTTATTCCATCTGTGAAAAACTATACTACTGTGGATGTTTTCGGAAGGAAAAGGTTGGCGTTTATTTGTGGCTTGAGTATGTGGGTGGCCCTACCTATGATTTAGGCCATGCTCCATGAAAATCCACAAGACAACTGTTTTCTTCCAACATCTTAAATCTGAACAGGCAGAATTGGAGATACAGAGCTTTAGCAGATACACAGCTACAAATTACATCATTGCTTCCTTTCCTGTCTTGCCTCTGATGTATATTCCTGTACCAGAGGGAAGGATATCCAATCTACATATGAAACGATACCTGAAACACCACTTTCCAGTTGGGGGGGGGGAAGTAGGGGAGCTGTTATACTATCTATTAAATTGTTTTCTAACCAAAAACAATTGTGTAGCATTTAGATAGCAACAGTAGGAAAAATGGAGACTAAATCATCGGGCAGCAGCTTCGCCTGCCTTACTAAACAGAAAACATGCAATAATGCAATACAACACATATCAGTGTGCAAAATTTTCTCTGTAATTACACAAGTGTAGGAAAAGAAGCGCCTCCTTCAAACTCCTTGGGTCTAACTGCTCTCATCTTCATTTCCCAGCCTTGTGAATTTGCATTCAAACTCTAAACTAGACCTTCAGATCCAAGGACCTTCGTTTGTCTCATCAGTTATGAGTGAACTACTGTTGCTATTACTAACATTCCCAGCACAACCTGCTCTCTTGCTTGTCATCTTGGGGGAAGAAATTACTTCTGCCGTTTGAGAATCCTCTCTACTATGTGGGGAAGGCAGCGTGGGAAGCACTACTTATGTGCCAAGCCACCTTTGCTAGAGCCAAGCTGGGCCCAAGGATCACAAACTCCCTATGCTGAATCCTCTTCAGTACTGTTTGACTGTTGGATCACCCTGTTCTATCAATAACCCGCAATAAAACCACATACAGGACCGGAAAGCAGTTCAGTAAAGAGACTGAACTTCCCCTCTCTCACAGGGCGGCGGCTAGTTCGACCTGAAGAGTCACAGGTGTGGCAGAAACGCCCCTCCAGAGCAGCCCATGACTGGAGCCTCAGTTTTCAGGCCTACCAACGGTGCAACTCAAGAGCCCGAAGCAGCCCACACCTCGGGACACGGGACGGGATATGCCGCCCTGCCGAAAGCGGGGTGGGGGGGAGAGACCACCGCATGCGTGCTATCACGGCTGGAGGCGAGCGAGCCCTCCTTAGCCCCCCCGGCCCTCAGGGGCGGCCCGGGAACACCCCCGGTTACCCGGAGGGCGGCCGCCGCGAGGAGGGGAAGCGGGGCATGACTCATAGGTTTTGTCCGCTCCCTGGTTGGCACCGGAGCGCTTTCCACCGCCGACACAGCGCGGGGCGGCCGCTGGCGGAGGAAGCGGCGCAGGCCGCCGAAGCGCGCCCCTCCGTGTGGCCCC